CAGGCTGTCCGCTTGTCCTGGCCGCCCCGCCCCTTCCCCTCCTGCGGACTCGGGGGAAGGCTCGTGAGGTTTTTTTTTTTGCTTTAGGAGAAGTTTGCTCCCTCTCCGCTCGAGCGAGGGCAGGGAGGAAGCATGTCAGCTTGGGAGATGAGGAGCCCTCGGGCACCTGGGCCCATTTCACCCTGAGCCCGGTCACATCCCACCTCCAGCCTCATCCCTCCAGAGCCGGTAACATCCAGCTGGGAGCCAGCGACCTACCCCTCCACCCTTGCCCAGCCCCACCATGGGCACAACCGCAGGGTGGCCGTGCCAGCAGCTTGGCACCCTTGGCAACCACAGGGTACCTGGCCGTGCCCAGGAGACCCGAGGTCTGCTCGGACATGATTTCTGTTAACTTCTCTCTTTCTCCACCCAACGCGAGCGAGGTCTTGCTTGCAACCAGAGCATCAGCACCAGCTGAGGCAGAGCAAGTGGGCTTTCAAGCAGCTATGATTCTAGATGTATGCCAGGGCTAAGCAAGCTGCAGAACAAGCTATTTTTAGTAAAACGCGGTTATTCAGCTGCAGGGTGTGGGGTCAGTGTGTTTGGCTGCAGGGATGTGAAGAAGAGGCAGGAGGAAGGGTTGGCCAGAGTGCAGCCCTAACGTGCTGAGGACAGCAAGGAGTCCCAGGGCAGCTTGAGGATGGCCTGGCAGATGGTGTTTAGGATCTGGAAAGCAGATGAAAAGCTTTGTCCTTGGCAGTACCAAAACCCTGTTGTTTTCTTCCACTAACCTGGGCCCCAGGATTTCTTGTACCAGGGCGTAAACTGGCGTTCAGCCTAAGTGACCGGACTGTGCAAAATCCCCGCACGCTATAATGTGCTGCAGCGATTAGGAGCCATTTATTCCCTGGTATGTCTCCACACGTTGCTGCCATTCTGCTGCGAGGGTGTCCCTTTGTGTGTTGGTGGGAGTGTGTGGCAGGGAGGAGAGGACACGGGCATGGCCACCAGTGTTCCTGCCCTTCGCATTTCAAGCAGGTGGCCCTGGGCAGACGATGTCTGTCCCGGAGGAGCTGTGAGCACTTTTTGCTCCCCAAATCCATGCATTTGCCTGGCTGCATCCTGGCAATAGGAAAAGAGCTGGCACAGGTTTTGCCATATGCTAATTCCCCTGGAGGGAAGAGGTTTTTCTATATGGAAGGGAGGCTACCCTTGGCCATGCTGTGGGCCATAGCTGGAGGTGAGGATGGCCAGAGGTACCCATCAGCCTGCCCTGCAGCCCCCTGCAATGGGCGAACCGAGAGGATGAGTGGACGTGGGCAGGCGTTAGGTGGGTGCAAGGGAGCATGTCCAATCCAGCCGGGCATCCCCACTGAGTTGGCATGACTATGCCCCGGGAGTCCCAGCCTCACGGGGACCACGGCGGGGGCTGGCTGCTGGGACAGCGTGGTGCACCGGTGAGGGAAGCAGGCAAGGAGCAGCAGCTGGCTGGGGCAGCCAAGGCCAAGCAGCCCTGGCAGGCGATGCCAGCCCATCCAAGCAAAGCACTGGGTGTGGGTGAGCACGAGGAAGGGCAAAGTCCATCAGTGCTGGCTCGCCAGCCCAGAAGGCTGGGCACCACAAGCATGTGGGACCTGGCACCATCTCCATGACAGGCACAACTGCCTCCTCTGTGTAACGTGGGTGAGATGTACCAGGAGCTGAGCACAGATGTTCTTCCCTTGCACCCGGGCTCAGCTCCATGAGGGATCCCAGGCCAGTGGGGCAGAAGGGGCAGGACACCCCCTGGACAGGGCCAGTCGAGAGAGGGAGCGTGCCTACTTTCTGTCCCCTAGGCTCCCGCAGCCCTTCCTCCCGGGCCCTCGGGGTCCCATTCCCCATCCTTACTCCATGCCTCATGCCCTGTCCTCCTCCGGATGCCGTGCTCACCTCCCTGAGACACACACGTGCACACACTGTCTGCCTCATCACCATGTCTATGTCTGGGCACTGGGGTGCCATGGGTTCACGTCCAGGCAGCCGGCAGGTTTCTGCCTTCTCAGGGGGATGGGAAATGGGGGCGGGAGAGTCAGACGTTGGAGCACCCACCAATGCCCCCCCGCCTTCCAGGTCCTGCACACCCCCATCCCTGCCCCCCTTGCAATGCCAGCTTCCAGGACTCCCAGAGCCAAGGTCTTGGGTCCAGCCAAAGACAGGACATGGGGCTGCATCCCAGGGCTGGACTCTGCAACTCCCATTCTCAACAGAGGTGCCACTGGTCTGGCTCCTGCACACGGCCAGAGCCCAGCTCTGGGGAAGAGCAGCTGAGTCCAGCCAGTATCTCTCCTGGATGTGCTGAGAACCCCAAGGGGACAGCAATGTGGGGATGGCGCAGCGGCTACCACCACTTGGAGAGGGGCTGGTGGGGTTGGTTCAGTGATGGTCAGCTTTGGAAGGCCACGCTGTGGCCCCCAGGAGAGCTCTGGGTTTGGCCCCTAAGCCCCCTCCCCAGTCCTGGCAGCTGGCATTACCCTTGTCTTTGGTCTGCCTGTTGGGCAGGGTGCTGTGGCCATCAGTGGGGTCCTGTGTTTAACCGCCTCTCCTTCCAGACATCCGGGACAGTGGAGCCAAGCCGGTGATGGTGTATATCCACGGCGGCTCGTACATGGAGGGCACGGGGAACATGATAGACGGCAGCGTCCTGGCCAGCTAC